GACGGAGGCAGAGAGAAGGGAGGGGAGGTCGGGGGAGAGAGACAAGGAGGGAATCGGAAGCGAGAGCGCAATGCTGCAAAAGAGAGGAGAGTCAGAGAGAGAGAGTGTGAAGAAAAGTGGTGCTCCATCTGAGAGAACCAGGGACAAATGGAGGTATTTGGAGAAAAAATAAACGTTGGAGAGAGGAGAGGAAAGGAGACATAAGCGAGTAGAGCGTCAAAGCTGCATTCTTTAAGCAGATCAGATTTGGGGAAATTGGGCTGTCACTACAGGATTGCGATGATTTACACCTATCCATCACAGGGAGAGAGAGCGAAGCAGAGCTGGAGTATGTACAATAATGCACAGCATCTGTATAAAATGAGAAAATCTGTCCTAAACAGGCTGAGTTCACGGCTTACTTTTCAATCCCGCAACCAATATTCTATAAATAAAACATCATTCTGTGAATGACTGATAAATACTCAAATGTAGTGATTGGTAGATATCCAGCTGGTTTATTATTGTACCTTATGACATTGCGAGAAAGGTAATATGAGTCAAAAGTAGAAAGTGAATGTCTCCACTAACTAAAGTGCCAAATGTAGTCCTGTATTACCCAGATTTTTTATAATAATTTGAAAGGTACGTTTTACCCAAATTGATCTGTATTGTCACCAGCTGCTGTTGACACCCGTCCCCTCTGCCTCCCCGCCTGATCTTCCCTCCTATCCTCTGCCTCGCCCCCTCCCCCTCCCCTCGCTGCTGGCTGATGCACCTTACAGCCTCGCTCCTGGACCATCTGTTAGGGAATCTAATTCACATCTAGTCATAATCAGGTTTGCTGGAGTGCCCATCGTCTCTGCTCTGTCTGTCTCTTTCTCGCCTACCTGCTTTTCTCTGCCTATTTTACATCATGCCTTTGATTGTCTACCATTTTTTATTTCTTCATCTTTATTGTATTTTAATTTTTTTTGATTACATTTTTTATATTTGGACATCTCAGCATCTTTTTTATTTTACTTATTCCTTCACTGATGCTTCAAGTTGGCACCATTACAAAACTGACTGAATGAATATATTTGGTTGTTCTGTTCTCCCAAATTGGTTGTAAAATCCATTGACATGTCCTCTACTGCTCGTCTTTTCAGAATTGGTTTTGCTTTCACTTGGTTTTAAATGTTGCTCTCCTGAAAACGTATAATTGCAGATGACAAGAAATGAAATGCTCTCTCAGCATTTTAATAGTAACATTTATTTATAAGCAACAATTTGACATTGTATGAAAAAATAAGGTGCTGCCTTAACACAGCATCTTGTCTATGCATGTTTCTCTGTGTGTGTGTGTGTGTGTGTGTGTGTGTGTGTGTGTGTGTGTGTGTGTGTCCATGGCGAGTTTAGGTGAAGAGGGTGGAAGTTAATGAGAGGTGAGTGTCTGAAACCCTCTCTCTCTCTTTCACTCTCTCTCTCTGCTCCAGCAGTAATCCTCTTCTATAAATCTGCAATCCAATCAGCGTTGTCCACACTTCCACACGCACACTTCCACACGCACACTTCCACACACACACACACACACACACACACACACACACACACACACACACACACACACACACACACACACACACACACACACACACACACACACACACACACACACACACACACACACACACACACACACACACACACACACACACACACACACACACACACACAGAGCTGTTGGGAGGCCCATCTGTGTGTTAAGGCAATCTGCTTTATCATTATGATTACATTGGGCTCAGTTTACAGCAATGTGTGTGTGTATTTGTGTGTGTGTGTGTGTGTGTGTAGTGAAGCGCAGCCTGGCTGCCTGACATTAATCACATTCCCATGGTTTGATGGCCTAAATAAAAGAGGAATAATATTGTTGCTGTCCAATGAAAACAGCAGATCTCGACAAACAAATTAGGAATTTCTTTCAAAATTCAAAAAGTTTTAATTCAGCAAAAGCGCTTAAAAGTAAAGCATATGGAAGACATTAACATTATTTGTTATATGTAGCATGAAGGGGTTTTGATGCATTATATCACAGGATGCCATTGTCAGTGGTCACAATATCACATAAAATATCATAATGATGTAAATATATAATGTTATAATGTAAATGTTTTAAGAAATATCTTATATATAAATTCTGCTGTAAAAGAATTGTAATTGGATTTTCTTTTCCAAAGACGCATCAAAGTGTGTTTGTGTGTGTTAGAGTGTTTATATCAAGTGTGGGACCAAATCCCATCAACACAGTCGGAGGTCAGATATCCTGGTGGGAATGTTCATGTGATTTTATACTGCATGCTGTGTGTGTGTGTGTGTGTGTGTGTGTGTGTGTGTGTGTGTGTGTGTGTGTGTGTGTGTGTGTGTGTGTGTGTGTGTGTGTGTGTGTGTGTGTGTGTGTGTGTGTGTGTGTGTGTGACTGAGCATACAAATGCGCTTATACTGTTTGTTATAGGAAAAAATAGGTGTGTGTATTTAAATGTGTGGTGATATATTAACTTTTCTTTATTGCATAAGCCCTATTTTACTTTATTTTTTAAGAATGGGCCCTTATATAAATGTATTCATATATTGTGTGATGTCACGTAGGAAAGCACAGGTGTAAAAAATGTAATTGTTGATGGCTGGATTTGGCCAAATGTTTAAGTTAGTGGAAGGCTGTAGCAAGTGCAAAGTAAGTACCCATTACATTTTGGAGCAGATCTCGATCAAGGATGGAAACTAAACATGTTTTTCACTTGTGTTAACACTGAGCGATAAGGCATTTGGCATTGCTAGAGGTCTGGACTCTCTGAATGCCCTTCTAGTGGTTAGTGAAATCTGCCAACTGTGGAATGTTTTTGTGTCACATCAGAGGCCTGACATAGTTTTGGCAATTGAATCTCCATTAAAATATCATCTTCAGTTCTTTTATCTTTAATTAAGACTAAGTTGAACCAATGCATTGAAAAAATGTGTCAGAGTCCGAAAGCAGAGTGTAGGGTGTTTCTGTCTGTGTGTGAAAATGTAGTGTTTGAATTCTAGCCATGGCGTGACTCCTTAGCTTCTGGCAAACCTTTACACCTCTCATCACCAGACATCACTGCATGCCAACATACACACACTCAACCTAACACACACGCACATTGTGCTATAGTAACTCTCCTCTTGGTGATTGGCTGAGAGTCTGCGTGAGAATGGCTTGCCAGACCTCTAATTGGCTTGACCCAGGCTAACCCTGAAATCCTATTGGACTAAGACTTCCCAGTCTACAGTGCGCACACACACACACGATCACACAATTATCGGGCTCTGCAAAAGCCTAACAATGCATAAATCAATAATCGGCTGCAATAATAAAACAATAACAACATTATTCATGATAGTAATGTTCATTATGGTAATCATGTCAGTTAGCGAGATCATGCAGCCTAATGTTGTTTTGTTACAAACTAAAATTAGACCCTAAGAGCCACTGTCTAAACACATCAAATACTTGACCAACAGATCACATTTTTTGGTAAGTTTTCTAAACACTTATTCCTACTCTGGTTTTTTTAAATGTGATTTCAAATCATTGGCAGTGCTTGGTTTTAATAATCTCTGGTGAAAAAATATATAAAAAGAATATAAGCATATGTGCTATAAACCTGCATTATACTCATTGTGTACAAAACAAATACTCACAATTACAGTTTTGCAATCTGGCTCTGTCTCGTATCCAGAGAAAGTTAGAATGATTAAAAGACAGAGAAAGGAAGATGCGGAGAAGGAGGATGAATGCTAAGAGAGAGGAAGTGTATCTGCGTTCCATGCGTCACACATTCGCTGTGTTTAAACATGAAACAAGCAGCATATTTACAGTTTATGTTCTAAAAATGGACAATAGGATCCCTGAGTTTCACCTGCCTGCAACAACACAGACCTAGAACTGGTTTTCATTGGAGAACTTTAAAGTACATTTTCCCTTTGGTATAAACGTTTCATGCTTTCCTGCACATGCATATGGCATGGGGGATTACTATAATGGTAATAGTGACTGTCCTTCAACCGAATGATATCATTTAAAGCCTCCTCACATTTGCACTACTGAAGTGTCCTTGAGCCAGGAGTAGAATGTTACTTTCTTGTGATATATATATATATATACTGGGAAAATATAACAAAACAAAGACAGTGCGACAAGTAAAGTAAAGAAAATAGTATTAATACTTTCTTTCAAAATAAAATATTTGCCTGTGGACATTGAGTGGAACGTGTTAGGAATAACTGGAATTTTAAGAGCATTGTAACAAAATGCTTATTAAATATAAAAAACTGGGTTACAAATCATTGTAAATTAGTCACTCATGAGACTCATACTCAAATATACAAATTCAGATAAAATACAGATGCTTAACCTGCTTTGTTCAAGTCTTTGAGAAAATGTCTGCCTATTTTGCAAATGGTGACACAAAAGCAAAGCAGCTTATTTTAAATACGGATCTAATAAAATTGTGAATGCAGCATAAAATGTAAATTCAATTCTATAGCCCTATTACATGGAATAAATAATAGAAACATATCTGAGGTATGTAATACAGTAAATCAATAAAAAATAAGAAAAGAGAAAAACATATAACTTGTGTTTTTGTAAATCGAAGAAAAAGCTCCTCAGCGCTTTAACACACACACACACACAACACACAACCACACACACACACACACACACAACACACACACACACAACACACACACACACACACACCACACACACACACACACACACACACACCCACACACACACACACACACACACACACACACACACAGACAACCACTAAAAACACTGGCTTTTGATGTCTCAAAGTGCTTGCCTTTTCTTTCTCTTTCATCTGAGGTTTATAGAGGTCAAGTGTGGCTTTTGTGTAAAACTGAACCTAAAAGATTCATAGATTCCTTTTCTTTTACATTTTTGCTCTTTCTTTCTTTGTGGTTTTACTTTGCTCGTCATTGGTTCTTACCTGGGGTTGTAGAGGGCATGTGCGTCTCTCATGTGGTTGGCCTCTAGTTGATCATAAGTTTGGTGCATTCTCCAGGCGCCAGCGCCGCATTTACTATAGTTCGACTTGGAGTTATCGTCACTGCTGCTGTTCACCAATGGACCCTTCGATAAGTTCATTCTGCAGACGGGGACAAAACGAGAGATGGAACGGTGAAAATTGAGCCAGTGAAATATATACGGAAGATGATAAAGAGCAGCAGAGACATACACAATATTCAACTCATATCAAATAAAACACACTAAATATGTTAGAATTAACCTGAGTTAGTTATTAAAATCTAAAGATTAGGAGAATACACATTAATTAATCAGGGACATTGAAATAGTACACATAATGAAATACAAATTGAAAAAATGAGAAGTATGTATACTTCTCTTAAGTTGGACATGAACATGGATAGAAGGAAGAAGACACATAAAAAAAAAAGACAAAATAATAAAACAAATGGGAGGTATATGAATATGTCATGTACTACAAAAATGCACACACAACTCACACATTCAGCATACAACTTTGGCTTGTCTGTATGCAACAGATATAACAAACAGATGCAGAAGACCTGATCGGTGTTTACAAGTTTGCAAATATTAAGCACGGGCAGCCAGAGACAGGTCAGAAGACATGTAGAAAAACCGACACACAGGCCGACATGCTGAGAGCGACGACAGGCGGATGGACAGACAGCTGTCAGACAGACAGACGGAGGCAGAGAGGACGGGCTCTGACTTTAAACCTGAGCAAAAGACTTTTGTCCAGGAATGTGTTAACACATTTCTGTCTAATACGCCCGTCTGTGCGCAGATGGGGCGGATGCGTCACGCTGCTAATTGAAACACACCCCGGCTGTGTGTAACGTCAGAGGAGTTTTACCAGTTTTAGCCTCTTTCAGACAGAGGGAATATAAAAGTAAAAGCACCGGAGGAGGGACTGCGATCTGTCAATCAAGACCGGCACTGTCGTCATGGGAGGAGCTGTCGCCGGGTTGATAAGGTCACCGCAGACAACAGAATCAAAATCATGCACCGACAAAAATATAATAATTAAATAACATGGCGCATTTATAGCTGACGTCAAAGAGGAGGACAACGTGCAGGGTTTACAATCGAATTAGCTGGGTGGCCAACATTTAACAAAACTATCACGGGATGGAGAGGGGCTGTTGGGAAGAAAACCATATAGAGCAAATATAGAAAATACTGAAACCAATTCAGAGTGGGGAACACAACTAGCATTAAAGTAATCCTTCTAAAATAATGCTAACGTGACGCTGGCTGTGATGCTTGAGACATACCTGTGCTTTGCATTTTGCGCATTTCTATGTTTTTTACATAACAAATGTGTCAAAAATAATTATGCCTGGTTATCCTAAAAAGATGAGGGAGGAATTATTTATTTTAAATGTACAAAATGGAATAATCTATTATTTAAAGTAATTACAGTAATTAATTCACATCAAGTCAAGAGCTCTTTTAGCAACAAATAAAAACTATCTTTATTAATTATCTTTATATTAGTTTTTGTTGTTTGAGTTTTGCTGGATTTGTCCTGTCCTTACCACATTCCTGTGTGTGTGTTGTCTCAGACGTTGTGTATCGGTAAACAGAGCAGGATGTTGGTATGTGTCACAAACTGATAGACACATGTTTACCCCACAAACACACACCGCACAGACATCTGTGTGTTCCTAAGTGTGTGTGATGTTGTCCCGGTGTGGGTTGCTGTTTAGGTGAGGGCCACGTAGGCAGACAGGTAGACAGACCAATCACTCGTCTGACAGCCCCCGCCCCCCCCACCCCCCTCAGAGCTGAGTTGGCTCAGGGAAAGGTGGAGGGCCAGGGTGTGTAATATGTAGGTTTTAGTTCCACTCTGGTGAATAGGAGGAATCGATATCTGCTGCTGCTGCTGCTGCTTCAGACACTTATTGGCTTTGGATGCGGTGTCACAATGCTATATAGACAGGCAACACTTAATACTGCTTTTTTATTGGGTGGGGGGGGGTTTGTCCTGGGTTCAGATCGGACCAAGGTACACCCAGTAACCACTGATACGTGATGTTGTAAGTTTGAATAACTGCCTTTCCTCTTGCCTAAAAGCTGATACGTGAAATGTGTGTCCTTCCACGGGCCATCACAACACACTAAGTAAAGAAAAGTAAAGCAGAAGAAGAAAAAAAGGGATAGATTGAACATTGGAAAGGGAAAGTTACTTATTTATTTAGCTTTACATCCTTATTTATATGGGTTGAATTTTTGGAAATAAAACCTGAGTTTACCAAGTTCTGAGATAAATCACTATATATAAAGCATCTAACTGTTCTGTTGTTTATGTCTTCATGTGGAACCTACTGCTGCAGGTCTCCCTTGAAAAAGAGATCAATGATCTCAATGGGATTTCATCTGGATAAATAAAGGTTTTGAATTGAATTGAATTGAACAAGTGAAGTGAAATATATATTATTAGTATACAATATTTTTAGTATTAGTATTTGCAAAATGCTTTTTGAATTTGCTGAAATCCCCTCAAGGCTGCCGCTTGCATTAACCCCAAACACTAAACCAGTTTGGGATTAGAAAGGGAGATTCAGTTTTATTACATTATACCTTATGGCAAGGTAATCGGATATTTTATTCATTCAAAGGAGATTACATTTAGGCTAAAAGGCACCTTAAAATGAGCAGACAATCATTGTATTAAGGCTTTAAACAGCTGTTTGTTTTTGTATTCGCTGCAAGGAAATCTTGCAAGAGAAAAAAGCGAAATTTTACGATTTTAAGTCGTAACCATGTGGGTACTTAAACAACAACATAAATAGCTCAGGTCATAAATATTTATATATGCGTACAAAGTAAAAGGAGAGAATAAAGGGGAAGAGTATTAACCTATGTGATTCTACCTGACCTATTTCACGCTCCTGTCACTACATGTAAGCAGCACCAGCACCCACACACACAAATACACACACAAGCTAGAATTGTGTGTGTGGGTCTGTAATTGTGTAAAAGTAGGGAGATCGCGGGTGTCTTTCTGATGCTCAGTGACTCGCTCATGTGTTGCTGGCCCATCTGTGAACAGAATGACCATGACACTGTGTGTGTGTGTGCGTGTGCGCGTGTGTGTGTGTGTGTGTGTGTGTGTGTGTGTGTGTGTGTGTGTGTGTGTGTGTGTGTGTGTGACATGGTGATGCAGTGATTGATGAGACAGTTGCCATTCTTGCTAATGCAAAACGCACCTATCCCTGAAGGAAGAAAATGCCACAACACACACACACACAAAGACACACACAGGGCTGCAACTGCCCTACCTAATTACCCCTCTAGTTGGGGCAGTTTGATGTCCTCTAGCCCAAACAGAACAGTCAGCGTGAAAAATAAAAAATAATTGATATTTCCCTTTTCTACTTTTGATTTTAATACAACTGTGGCTCTATTTGTATTACTAATCTTGTGGTATAAAGGTGGTGAGATAAGAACGCACATGTTCTATTGTTAGATATTCCTGAGACTATGTCAGGAAGTCGTTAAAAATATGTGCATGTGTGATAAAATAATGATATATTTTGTCATTTGTCAAAATATGATAGTGTGTGTGCATGCATTCGTGTGTGTCGGGTAGACATTAAAGTAATAATCCCAAATGCCAGGTGCATAAACATACTAATATAGAAATGTGTGTGACTATGTTTCCCGGCCTGTGTGTGCACGTTCATCAGGGCATGTGGGGTTCGGCGCTGCAGCCCTTTGTGTGTCTGAGTGGATGGGGATATGTGTGCGCTTTAGCGTTAGCGACGGGAGCTGTTAGCGGGGCAGGCGGCAGATGGGCTGTCGGCCTTAATAGGGACTGAGCGGGTGCAGAAAGGTGACAGCTCCACGAGGGAGGGGCATGTGGGGAGGGAGGGGAGGAGTGTGTGTGTGGGGGGCTGAGTGGTGAGGGAAGAAGGGGATAAAGAGGAAATGAATTATCTGCGGAGGTCAAGAAAAGTGCATTTCAGCTGCGTAGAGGAACGCACCTACTGAGGACCAAAAGTGCCACGACACACCTGAAAAGGTTAAAAAAAATTAAGCTGTGGCCATTTCAGCACTTCTAAAAATAAAAAGTAGTTGAATCTGTTTTATTTAGTCAGGTATGTTCGTTATCAGTTTGGTTTTAAAAAAAAGTCCTAATGTGTCGCTATTTGAAACCACATTGATATTTTTGAAAAGCTAAAGCTTATTATAAAATATTTCACCGAACTTCAATAAAAATAAGGAAATGAAATGCGCTACTAGTTTTAAAATGTCAAGAGCACAACTTGTGTGTGGACATGTGATTGACATGAACTGCTGGGAGGATTTGAGAAGCAAAGAAACAGTCACACACACTCGGGCTGTTTGTTAGTTGTTACAAAAGACCTTTCCTGTTCCTCAAAAACACGACGGAAACGGAACGTCATGATACATTTCATATACAAATCTTATCTAAATCTTACACAAGTGGGCTAATAATACGCGTAGCATTTAAATTGCATTAAGAGAGGTTTTAATTGTATAAAACTAAACCTCTTTAAAATAGCAAGACAAATTAAATATAGTAAAGTAACATTGATAACCTAACTTTAAAAAAAAAATGCTGTTTTGAAAATATATTTATCAAAGTTTGGGGGAAATTATCAGTTATTGAGCAATTTTTTTATGCTGTTTTAGAAATATCCTCTTAACTTTATAGCAGCCCCCCCCACGCTGTTACTTTTCGGTTTATGCTGAAACTAAAGTTTTATTAAGTTTAACTGGTGTTTGCTATATTTGAGTGTTAGTTGAGTTTACTTGTCGGGGGCTTTGATAAAGTTGGTAAATTACAAGTGCACAGTAACATAGAAAGAGAAAAAGGCAGACATAAAACACGAAAGCGAGAGGTGGGGGGGGGGGGGGGGGGGGGGGGGGGGGGGGGGCTGGCCTGTCATTCTCTCCCCATCAGGCACACACATGAAGCATGATGGGAGGATGAGACGAGGAATATTTCACTGTCAGTCGGAAGGCGGCATGGTCATTCATTTCTCTCTCTGTTAGTATCTCACCATATCCCTTTTTACTGTATTCTTCCCCTTTTGTCTTTTTGAACCGCCCTTACACACTGTCGAAACA